AAAGTAGACCCTTTACCTGCGTTATTTGAGAAGACTCTTACAACCGATTTCGTTGTAATTTCAATTTTTATTTAGAAAGATATTGGGAATAAATGTATATTCAGTGCATGAGTTTAAAATCAATGTTTGGAGCAGCTTACTTAAATACCCTCATTTTCATACTCACACCCATTACTCTGGAACCTTGAGACGGACATTTTGAACTTGTTTTTTTCTTATATGCTATGCTGTGATATATTCCAAGTCATATGTGATCAATTATATCAACAAAATTTACAAATTTATAATTTTATTTGAACAAAACCTTAAAAAATTGGCATTTTTTTCAAAAAATTGCCATACATCCGAGAGTCGCAGGAAGTCGCAGAAAAAAAATTTAGTATGTGGTTCTAGAGAGACACACAAAAAAAAAAAATAAAAAAATCAACGCTGAACTCGACTGCACTCCATACGAAACCCCTATTTTAATTGAAGGAATTTAAAAAAACGGACCTTACATAGAGTAACTTCCGGTAATGTGGACCACCATTTTCTTTTTTTGATATTGTGGGCGTACCAACGGTAAAAACTGAAAACAAATTGTTTTCACAACATAGTAGATTTGTTGGCTAAATATATTCCAGGTCAAAAATTATATATATTTGTCTATAAAAATGTTATTGCATTATATTTCAAAAAACTCTAAGCTGCAAATAAAAATAACTTGGCGTGTAATGTGGACCAGTATGTGTGGGTAATGAGTATCAGTAATGGTGTTTTTACACGATATGTATTTTACATATGTGCTGTCACTTATTTCATCCATATGTAATTCCTTATGTGTGTCAAAATTAGCAGTGTACACAAAACATTTATTTTTGTGTTCAAATCGGCATATGTATTTTACATATGACATAACCTATAAACAAAAAAACACTTTTATTTTTTCTTAAATCAACATCATTTTTTTATTAAACACCTACAAACGAAATAATAATTTGTAATTGTTCCCTTTTCATCCTTTTCTTTGAATTGCAATTGAACTATTTTCTTCCAACAATGTGTTTCATTCAAACAGCTGATTTCCTTATGTTTCACATACGAAAATAGAGCGCGTCCTATTCGGAAAAAAATACATATGTAATTGCATATCGTTTTGACACATTGAAATTTCCGTATGTTTCACATGACGAGTTCGATTTCCATATGTAAAAAAGTGACAGCACATATGTAAAATACATATCGTGTAGAAACACCATAAGTTAAAGGTAGGTTGTGGTTTGGTTGTGATAAATTTCAATTTATTACACTCTTGGGTAACAATGAATGCAAAAAATTTATGGGTTCATGTTTTGGAATAGCCCCCATTTAAGGGTACCGCCCCATTTGCGGTACTTTGAAGGTTCTTGCTTCATTATCCAACCGAAGAACCTTTAATTTCGCATATCGAGTTTTCAGAGGATAGAATACTTCATCGCATATTAAATTCTCCCACGTTTCGAACTCGTCCTCATGAAAAGGTCCCACTTTTTTATAGTGGTCCACATTACCCGACATTGAATATTTTTATTTAAAAATAATTATCGGCTTCAAAAATGAATAAAAATTAAAAATCACCGATTGTAATTACAGCTAAAACGTAGATTTTTGTTAAAGAAAACAAGAAAACCACATAAGTTCTTTATATTCGAGAAAAAACAAGTGTTCGACTATTTTGCAAAAACGTTCGACTATTGTGCTAAAAAGTTTTCAAATCACTCTTTTACAATCCGAGGTATATTTTCTACTACTACATTTTCAACATTGCAATTATTTATTAAAATCCAATTATGATGTTTGTTTTCACTAATAAGGAAAATATTTATCAAGGCGGCATTGACATATTTCAAGCATTTTCTAAGATGTGGGTGGTGGTCCACATTTGACGCATGGTCCACATTACCCGAAGTTACTCTATATTTAGCCCGAAACACCTAAATTAAAATAAGTTATGGGTTATATAACTACTCCATTTAATTAAATACCAACACTATATATCAAAAATGGACAAAATTATATAATAATATATTCACAGAATCCATTTTTAACCTTGGAAAAAATATCTATTTTAAATGTACCGTTATTTCGTTCTAACTTATTAATTCGGATTATTTTATACGGTCTTAAGTACACCCAACACTCTACTTTGAAACTGCATTAATGTTTTAAAGTTTTCTTCAAGCTCATTTTTTTATTTTCTGCGCGCTAGATCGGTATTTTTTCCCACTGTGCCACGTACTGCTTGATGGCCCTGCGGCCGTCAATTCGTTAATATGGGGGTGTTGGGATCGCTTTTTAACCAAATTGGCTGTATGTATATATTTCGGATTCCTACTGGGTTTCAAATCTCGCAACCAAAAATTTTCAATATCGGTCGGTCCCCATTTTGGTATAGCCATCATATGACATTCGGTATTTTGTTTGATATTTTCTGACATCAAGTGTGTTTGGACAACATTTAGTAAGATTTAGCAAATAAGCAGCTGGTTCAAGAAAACATTTGTTATGAGCCAAAATAAACAACAAACAAAGGACGAACACAATTATTTGTATTGCATTTAATAATAAAAATAAAATGAATAGTAAAACAAAAATTGATTTGGTATGTTCCCCGGGAACATTTAAGTTTCCTGCATCAATACATTGCCCTTTATCTGGAACTTGCCTAAAAATATATAAGGAAGTATTTCCTAATTTAATGAAACTTTGCATTACTTACGAAATTTCTTTTATTTTCTGTAATTTTAATGCAACATAACTTCAAATTGAACTTTGCAAATTAAAAAAATGTTTTGAATAATTTTTATGTTTGGTCATAAAACAGCTGATGCAAAAATGGCCGAGTTTGCAAAATCTTACTGCATAAAATTCTTTCAGTAAACTCCAGTAAGTTTGTTGTTGTTCAACTGTCAAACTTGCTCTCTCTCTCTCTCTTGACTCTCTTTTACTGGATTTTTGTGTAAACAGACAACATTTAGTAACATTTGGTAACAATTGTTACCAAATATCGAGTAAACAGACAGAGCTATCAACAAACAGTATGAAAAGTAACATTGTACAGTTGCATAATTTAGTTGTACGATTTGTTGAACAACTTAGTCTAGTCTCGCGCCAGTCTAAAATATAATGCAATGGTTTCCAAACTATATAGGGTTGTGTCTAAGGTGTCTACTTTGCCATTTGCACTAAAGTTTTACTTGCAAAGACATAAAAGTATAAAGATAGGACAATTGATACGTAAGCGATTTCCAACAGATGGCTTTTTTCTCTGTTGTTACGATATCATAACAACAGAGAGAACAATATTAAACATTTTTGTTGCTATATCTTAAGCTTATAAAATGAAAATACATATTTTGAGTGCAGGCCTCTAATTTTATTTACATTTAATTCACACATTTTCGCGTATTGGCGTTTTTATTATTAACATGCCTCTGTTAACCTTGATTCCCCCTGGATATTTTTTCATAAACTATTTTGCCAAAATGCATTTTGTCGAGTCTTTACGGTTTCTATGTCTTTGTTACTTGTTTACTAGTCAGTGCGTCATTTTATATATAGAGGGCGCCTCCTTTGTTATAACGTAAATCGATTTAAATAATTTGGACTGTATACACAAATTAGTACTGTACACATATTTGCCCACTTCTCTATATTGAAAAGCTCCATATGTTTGTAACAGGCAAAATGAATCGAGATAGACACATGGTTCCTTTTGAGAATATGCATAGAATCGCTTTCTGAGTCCATTTACGCATGTCCGTCCGTCCATGATAAATTGTACAGGTCGCATTTATAGTCCGATTTGGAAGAAATTTGGCACAGCTAGTCACTTATTTGGACCAAGGCCGAACCCTACTGAAATTGGAAAAATTGGTTCAGATTTAGATTGTGTGTGCTATGTTTTGTGGAAATCGGTTGAGATTTAGATATAGATCCCATATATAATTTGGTCCGATTTTATGTAAATGGTGCACAAAGTCCCTGAAAACCATTAGATTTGCACGCATTTTGGCATAGCGTACTAAATTAAGTCTATAATAATGTGTGCAAGGTTTCGTAAAAATCGGTTCAGATTTAGATATAGCTCCCATGTATATTTTCATCCGATTTTATGTAAATGGTGCACCAAAGTCTCCATATATCTTTAAATTTTGGTATAGCGTACTGAATTTAGTCTAGAATGATGTGTGCAAATTTTCGTGAAAATCGGTTCAGATTTACATACATCTCCTATATATACTTGCGTCTGATTTTAAGTTAATGGCGCACTAAAGACCCATAGCTAGGCCGATGGACACAACGTACTAAAATTAATATAAATTAATCTCTCCTTGAAATTGGTTCAGATATAGATATAGCATAGCCTCCATATATAATTTCGACTTATTTATGTTGATTGTACACCAAATAATCAATGGATGACTGATTGAGATTAAATTTTAAACAGGGCAGCATACCGAATAGCGTATGTTAAGTTTGTCTTAAATCGATTCACAAAATTTAGCATAGGTTGCAGAATGACATGTGTAGGGATTGATGCTAGTCGGTTTAGATAAGGATCACATATTTAAGTTCGTTCATTGTCTTTTAGGATACATATGTAGAATATACCCAAAGTGGTATCATATTGTCGCCCAGTCCGACTATACTACTTTCCTTACTGGTTTGGATATGTGTCGTCCATAATCAGGACTTGACATATGAATCCAAAGAATATTTATATACTAGCAGCATATTAAATGTAAGCTCTAAAACATTTTGTTGTCTGTGGGAAACATTGGGCCACAAAGGGTTAAACAATTATATATGCCTACCCTCTTTCTCCCACATTAAACTATAGCGTAGAATTCAAACTTGTTACCTTATATTGGCTTACATTTTGCAAAAAACATATATTCACTGATAAACAATATTCAGATTCGATTCAAAATTAGCTTTTTAACAACTTTATTAGCAAACTATTTGAATTACTTCACATTTTATTTAATCGATTTACGTTTATGTAATTGTTGATTATCAGTTGCCAAAGAGGTGACAGACATCGATGACGATGAACGTTTAGAGACTGCCGACGATTTGGAACTTGAAGATTTTGGATATTTCGCTGGTTTCGTATTACCCGAACATTTCATGACAAAACGTATTTCGTCCATTAATTCATCCCTGAAGGGTACCTAAATTATGGAAATAGTAACGATTTATAAACAGATTATTAAAAGGAAGAAAGACACAATCATACACAGATAAGCAGTAACATGCACACAACATAAGTTAACATATTAACAAATAAGATATGCAGCACATGTTAGGAAATCGGCGTAAAGGCATTCGAAAGCAATATAGCTGAACAAAAGCATGATTTGAAGCTATATATTTATGTATATGTTGATGTAGTGCATATACCAAGTGAACGTTTATTATGTGTATGGACAAGTGTTGTTGTATATATTCTACATATGGGATATTACATATGAAATTATAAATAACATGCAAAATGTTGGCCATTTTTTATACCCTTCACCACACTGTGGTACAGGGTATTATGTCTTTGTGCATATGTTTGTAACAGGCAAAAATAATCGAGATAGACCCATGGTTCCTTTTGAGAATATGCATAGAATCACTTTCTAAGTCAATTTATGCATGTCCGTCCGTCTGTCCGTCCGTCTGTCTGTCCATGTTAAATTGTAAACGAAGTACAGGTCGCATTTACGATCCGAATTGGATGAAATTTGGCATAGGTCACTTATTCGGTCCAATGACGAACCCTATTGAAATTGGGAAAAATCGGTTCAGATTTAGATATAGCTCCCATATATATATTTAACCGATTTAATGTAAACGGTCCCTATATATCTTTCGATTTGCACGAAATTTGGTACAGCCTAATCATTTAGGTCTAGAATGATGTCTGCCAAGTTTCGTAAAAATCGGTCCAGATTTAGATATAGCTCCTATATATAGTTTCGTCCGATTTCATGTAAATGGTGCCCCAAAGTCCCTATATATCTTTTGATTTGCACGAAATTTGGCATAACGTACTGAATTAAATCTAGAGTGATGTCTGCCAAGTTTCGAGAAAAGCGGTCCAGATTTAGATATAGCTCCCATATATAGTTTCGTCCGATTTCCTGTAAATGGTACCCCAAAGTCCCTATATATCTTTCGATTTGCACGAAATTTGGCATAACGTACTGAATTGAGCCTAGAATGATGTCTGCCAACTTTCGAGAAAATCGGTCCTGATTTAGATATATCTCCCATATATAGTTTCGTCCGATTTCATGTAAATGGTGCACCACAGTCCTTATATAACCTTCGATTTGCACGAAATTTGGCATAACGTACTTAATTGAGCCTAGAATGATGTCTACCAAGTTTCATGAAAATCGGTCCTGATTTAGATATATCTCCCATATATAGTTTCGTCCGATTTCATGTAAATGGTGTCCCAAAGTCCCTATATATCTTTCGATTTTCACGAAATTTGGTACAGCCTAATCATTTATGTCTAGAATGATGTCTGCCAAGTTTCGTGAAAATCGGTCCAGATTTAGATAGATATAGCCCTTTTTTATTATAGATTGATTTTAAGTAATTGACGCAACATATATATTTTCGCCCGATTTCAAGTAAATTGGACATCAAACTTCTCATGTTAGTCAGATTGACATCAAAGTTTGCATATCGTACAAAATTGAGCATAAAATTATATAGTTGCGTTTTCTAGAAGTACAGACACAGCCCAACGGATCACCTATTTATATTTGTTTGAAGTCGATTTACATACTTTATGGATAGATCTAGGTAGATTCACATTTAGATAAATATCACATATTTTATTTCACCCAATTTCATGCTAATAGTCCTGTTTAATATACCCATAGTGGTGAAGGGTATCATATAGTCGGCCCCGTCCGACTTTACTACTTTCCTTACTGGTTTTAATTTTCTTAATTTTGTATATTGTTGTCGTTTAAACCTAATGAGAATCTAAAAAGTTTAATGCTCCATTCGCAGAATATTATTATACCCTTCACAGGATATTATGTGTTTGTGCATGTGTTGGTAACAGACAAAAGGAATCGAGATAGATCCATGGTTCCTTTTGAGAATATGCATAGAATCACTTTCTGGGTCGACCTGAGTTGATGCACCAAACTCCCAATATTCCGAGTCCGATTAAGACAACATTTTGCACAGCGTACTGAATTAGGTCCTGATTGATGTATGCAAAATTGTTTTGGAATGGGTTCAGATTTAGCTTCCATTAATAGTTTCTTCCGATTGTATGTAAATAGTGCACCATACTGCCAATAATTGCCCGATTGAGACAAAATTTTGCACAGCGTACTGGATTAGGTCCTGATTGATGTATGTGAATTTTTGTTGAAATCGATTTAAATATAGCTACCATTTAAAGTATCGCCCGATTTTATTGGTTCAGATTGATCCAATCCAATACGCTATGGATTGGTTTAGATATAGCTTCAATATATATATATATATATATTCATCCGATTTCATCTAAATAGTGTACCAAATAACACAACATACCAAATGTAACCTTCGGTGCACCATCTAATGAAATCGGACCAAAATATATGGAAGCTATATTTAAATCTGAACTGATTTCAACAAAACATCAATTATATCAATCAGGACCTAATTTAGTACCCCGTACAAAATTTTTTCACGTGCGTCAACCTTTAAATATGCTGTGTAAAATCGGATGCAACTATATATGAGAGCTATACTAAATCTAACCGATTTCAAGAAAACTTCGCATGCATAAATCAGGACCTAATTCAGTACGCTGTGTCTCAATCAGACAAAAATTGCACAAAGACAAGTAAAAAAGCTTTAAGTTCGGCCGGGCCGAATTTTGGATACCCTCCACCATAGATATACTGACAGGTACTAGAAATGATAGGGAACATACCAAAAAGTGGACCTATACCGTATATACGACCTATACCATATACGACTTCAAAATACCAAATTTCAGGGAATTCGGCAGAAAACGCGCTCAAGAACCCAAATTTCAGGGAATTCGGCTTAAAGAACCCCAAAATACCGAAATTTGACGGGTACTCTTATATGGGAGCTATGCCTAAACGTGGATCGATATATCTCATCTTCGAACTTGACCTGCCTGCAGACAAAAGACAACCCTATGCAAAATTTCAACATCCTATCTCAATTCCTTCAGATTACAACAGACGGACGGACATACCTAGATCGTCTAGAATTTTACCCTGATCAAGAATATATATACTTTATAGGGTCGGAAATGAATATTTCGATGAGTTACAAACGGAATGACAAAATTAATATACCCTCCATACTATGGTGGAGGTAGCATTAGTAAAACATGATCTGATGAATATTCGGTCCAGTAACTTCCATAGGTATAGACAGAATTTGTACAAAATTTCACCAACATATGGTTTAGAAGTTCTGAATTTCGCGACATTTGATCAATTATTGTTTTGCTACAATCGACAGGAACTTTTTTCAGAGAGATTTTCTGAAAAGGGGCGGTATCCAATGAGAACAAACTAGCTAGTTCTAGAAATGACCAAGGATGCCTGCATTTTACGGTATAGCACATTACGGTTTTGCATCAATCGATCGTTTATTTGGCACAAGAATGACATGAAATTTGTGAAAGTTGGCCCTGATTCAGATATAGGTCTCATGTACAGTCGAATCCGCTTTACTGAAACGGAAAAAATATGAATGTTTGTTTCAGCTATCCGATGTTTTCCGTTAAGCGGAGTTCGGTTAACTGAAAATAATTTCAGTTATCCGAACTTCTCATAAGGGAAATATTTTCAAGTTTTAGGAATTTCAATAATTTATATTTTATATCGAATTCGTAGGTCTCTAATTTTATGAAAATAGACTATAGAAATAGAAACTGGTTAACATGTTCAATGTTTTTATTATGAACAGTATTTATTATGCGTAAGGTTTCATACTAGCCGATTTAGGCCTTTTTAATAGCTGACTTGCCTGTAATATGGGGTTGCGAAATTTGTTCATTATAGAGACATATTTTTACATTGTTCCTATTTAAAATTTGGTTATCATCTTGAAGGCCTTAATAATAACACAGAGTAGTGGACGACCTCCTCAAAATTTTGTTAATTTGGTAGTTTTTTGCACATTTACATAAGATCGGACGAAACTATATATGGGAGCTATATCTAATTCTGAAGCGATTTTCATGAAACTCAGCACATATCATTCTAGGCCTAATTCATTACGCTGTGCAAAATTTCGTGCAAATCAAAATGTATATAGGGACTTTGGTGCACCATTTACATTTAATCGGATGAAAATGTATATGGGAGCTATATCTAAATCTGAACCGATTTTCATGAAACTTAGCACACATCATTCTAGGCCTAATTCATTACGCTGTGCCAAATTTCGTGCAAATCGAATGTTATATATGGACTTTGGTGCACCATTTACGTAAAATCGAACGAAACTATATATGGGAGCTATATCTAAATCTGAACCGATTTTAACAAAACTTAGCACACATCATTCTAGACTTAATTGAATACGATATGCTAAATTTCGTGCAAATCGGAAAATACATAGGTTTTTTAGTGGACAATTTACATTAAATCGGACGAAAATATATATGGGAGCTATATCTAAACTTAACACACATTACTATAGACTTCATTCATTACGCTGTGCCAAATTTCGTGCAAATCGAAAGATATATAGGGACTTTGGTGCACCATTTACATAAAATCGGATGAAACTATATATGGGAGCTATATCTGAACCGATTTTCATGAAACTCAGCACACATCATTCTAGGCCTAATTCATTACGATGTGCCAAATTTCGTGCAAATCGAAAGATATGTAGGGACTTTTGTGCACCATTTACATGGACGAATGGGAGCTACATCTAAATCTGAACCGATTTCTCCCAATTTCAATAGGGTTCGTCCTTGTGCCAAATAAGTGAACTATGCCAAATTTCATCCAAATCGTAAATGCGACCTGTACTTTGTTCACAAAAATACATAGACGGACGGACATGCGTAAATCGACTCAGAAAGTGATTCTATGCATATTCTCAAAAGGAACCATGTGTCTATCTCGTTTCCTTTTGCCTGTTACAAACATATGCACAAAGACATAAT